ATGCCTCTGCCTCATTAAATTTGATTTATGCTATCCATAATGTATCACTAGTGTTAATAGTGTCTGCATTTACATGGTTTCTGAATTCTTTAAAATGAATTCTACATTCACCCTTACATCTGTTTCTCCCACATCTTCTAGCGTTTGCCTATTATACTTTCTTAATTTAAGCATCACTTGACTTGTTCTTCGCTCTTTAATGATCCACTCATGTATTTTAATTTGTCTTTAAACTAACACTTGATCTTTGTTGTCATAGGAAATAAGATGTCTGATATTTAACTTTCCTAAATATCTTTATTATATATCAAGTTGCCATTCAATTACATTTAGCCTTGCCTCTACATGTTTCTTTATCCAAACCTGACCACAGATCCCGTCTTTTGCTACTTATTTACTCCATCACACAGCCAAGGTCGCCGTGGGCCTTTTTGAGGCAAGCCAGATCTCGACCATTCGCATTCCTAGTAGAACCACATTTAACACAATATCAATTGGACGACAGGACAAAGTGTGGTCTCATACGGTGAAAAGTCAAGGAAACCAAAGCGTAAAGAGTACATCGACATCCGTGCAGAAAGAAATGCAATGAACAAGAGATCTGTAAGGAGGCAGACCGAGCAATAACTTTGCCTATTACTTAAGCAATTTGGTAGAAAATATTGATACGGCAATAGCAGCATAAAGGAGATGCCTTTATCAATGACCTATCGTCAATTAGAGGAAAGGGGATCGCAAAGAAGAAGCGGGTGGGGAACGGTCGAAAATCAAGCAAAGGGGTTACACTGAATGTACTCTGCTGGCAGAAACAGCTAACATTTTTGGGGCTCGCCAGTCACAGGACTATGAGGACGAATAAGTACAAGAAGTTAAGACGTGGAGACAACCCCCGATATCTGCAAGCATGGGACTCGGAGCTCAGGCGTTCTGCTCGGTGGGGCACAGTATACATGTCATCAATGGCTTGTGGCAGACCTCGAGGAATAGCGCCTGGAGTAAAACGCATACTATTAGTCAAAAAGAGAAGAAAAAATCCTCGGGGCATGGGGGAGATTCGAATATGAGGTCCGTGGATCAGCAATTCCAGCAAATCGAGATGGAGAAGGTAGGGGGGCAGAGGCTAAACAAGCAGATGTGCTAACATCCAACTGAAAATGGCACACTTCTAGAATAGCCAAATATGGGAAAGTCGGAAGTTGTGACAATGAGGGAGTGAGCTAAGAGTAGGTAGATCTATCAGGGACGCATTTTCATAAAATAGGCTTCCATTAAGGTAAGTTTGTTTTTTTCTTTCATTCATTTGCGTGGGCCAAGGCAATTTATAGAATTTGCTTTTAAATATATTTAGCTGAAAAAAGATGGTTTACAAATGAGGATAGGTTTTTACTTTTATTTTAAAGTGTGGACTAAAGGGATTCGTGGGTAAGCCGGAATAGAAGGCGAAAGAAGATGGCTGTCGATTAGCTGAGCGCTTATTTCGGTTTGACGTCAATTACTTTTCGCTAATAAGTGGGTTCAGAGACTACCAGTTCTTCAATTAAGATCTTTTCAGTCCTTTAGATGATGTTAGATAAGGGCTTCTACAAAAGTCCATCTTTCAATCTGCATACAGTGTGACCGAAATTCAGTTTTGGCCTGAAGATGTCCGCCACGTGGCTGATGAAGGTAAGTATTATTTATCCCAGGACGGAGGACGGTCATTGGGACCTACATTTGCCGGCAAACCAACGGCAATCTTCGCACAGTTTCTGTTGATGCCAAACCACAAACCTCGCTCTATTGCGCATTTCATAACCAAACAAAAAGTGTCTTCAAAATTTACCCACTTTTTACTGACTACTCAGCGCATCACTACTTCTCTAGTCTCAATACCGGTTGTGCGGCTGCATCCAAAACTGGACGGATTGTTTTAGGAAGTTCTTTGCCATCCACATCAGACCCTCATTCTCGGCAGTCCAGTTGGGCGATAGAACTTCTGCTGTTGCCCGACATAGTTGAATAGTCAATCGTCTAGGCAAATTAAGCCGTTAAGTAGCCAATTCATCAAGCTCGTTTATTTTTTTGCCACTTCCTGTCCCTCGTCAACTTTTTTGTTCCTTTGCTATCTTCGGCGATCGGATAGCTCATCACTTCAGAATGCGGTCCTCATGGGCTCCAGCAGTCTCTGAGATCTGGCTCCCAGCCGGCCTCAGTGGACGTGGTACCCTTGCCTTGAAAAGCGGTACATTTCCACCATCTTTCGGCCGAATTCCCAAGCAACCGGGTCACCTTTCTCACCACACCAAACTTTCAGCCCGTCATCTTCCCTCCGGCTCTCTGTGTCATCGTCGCTCAGCCTCCCGACCTTCTTCCCCCCCACTTATAACGCTTTTCCTCTCAGTCCTCTTAGCCAAAGATGTATTTGGCCGACTTTTTTCGGCTTAATCCAGACAAGAATTTGCATGATGGCTAATAGAGAGTGCTGAGTTCGTAGTTGAGACAAGAAAGATGGAGGGGCCCCACAGCCCTAGCTCTCAAATGAAATCTCATGGCTCCCTCGTGAATATGCAGGTATGTCGGGCACACATACACATGCACATGCACAAATAGGATGTATGTCGCGTGTCAGTTTAGTCGGCGTGATTTGCAGTCGTCCGGCCGGTGTCCAGCTTCAAAGGTCGTCAGCCGCCTCAACAGCATTCGCTCGCCCGGCGCGAACATGTAACAAATGAGGTTAGACAAAAGGCTGTGCCGTGGAATGAGTTTC